ATCTGCTATGTGGGTAACATGGCTTACTTATAACAACACATTTTTATCTCTCGTGGAATATGGTATTGGCGACTTTCGATGGACTGCCCAGGGCAATTCAACATTATTCACTGATGGTGGAAAACTAAAGAGAAAACGTTATATTCATAGAGTTTTGCTTACTGATCTGAAGCCGGGCACAGAATACCGTAAGTTCAAATGCTACACTTATCATTCACTGTGTTGCAGCCGATAAGTGTTCAATATAACAAAACCAAATACCGATCCCAGATTTTAACTTTAAACCCAAAAGTTTCTAATCTAACACCACAATTTTGTCGACGCTATTAATCGTAATTTTGGCACTTTACCTGTTCCTACTGTAACAAAATGATACTTAGAATACCATGTTGGATCAGAATATGGATGGAGTTCAATTTATCGGTTAAGAGCGTTGCAAGAGCGAAAAGATGGTGGTTACATCTATGGTGTTTATGGGGATCTGGGCAGCGTGAATGCTCGATCGCTTGGAAAAATACAACAACAAGCACAGCGCGCAGAAATCGATGTTGTTTTGCATGCTGGTCAGTATTAATTATTTCTGCATAAAACAAGCAAAAAACCGCTGGGACAATTCTGCACATGTAGCTGTGTATAATTCGATACACGGCTGCGGAATCCTAGAGGTTGGAACTTTCAGGACAGTTTTTGCTATGCGCGACTTCTACAATAGTAACTTTAAATTTATTCCTGCGACTTTCAGTTTCAGCAATAACTTTCAATTTCAAAATAAATCGACTTGCAATTTATCCCTGTGCAGGGCTTCATCGAATTACAACCTGAAGTTTGAATTAATGATAATTTAAACCGAGAACTGAGTAAGCTGCAAACTCAAAATTTTGGGAACAAAACCTGCCAAACATTTCGAAGTGCGGCATGCAAACAATTTCTAGGCTTCATTGCTTTTTGGTCTACGATCTCGAGCACAAATCAAAATAATTTTTTATTCAGAACGAAGCAAATTAGAGTCCCAATATTTTGGGATTTTAGCTGGATGTACATTTAAATTTTTTTGTTACCTCAGCTGTCTAAAGTGGAGCTGGCAGCTGTGACAAATTAAGCCTAGAATCCGAAATTTTTATGCTTTTCATTTGGTGGAACAATTAAAAGTCAATATGACGCAACGGTTTGAATAGCCGCTCCTTCTCGGTTTCAGCCACT